TGAGAAAAATTACTTATAATATCATGAAAAAATATGTAATAAAAATATATAATAATTAAAATATATAATAATAATAATATATAATAACAAAAATATATAATAATAAAAATATATAATAATATAAATGATAAAAAAACTCAAATTATAATAAAAGCTGCTAATTTCGTGCAATATCTCGTAACATTTAAAAATTCAAGAGGCAAATCGATCAAAATTCAAATTTTTTCTTTCAAGTTAATAATTATAAACAGATTTTCAAGCATGCAACATAAAACGTAACATACATAGTAAACATACGTATTAATAATACATCATACAGATTTAAAAAATGAAATTTGTTTTTCTCAAGAAATTAGATAGTTTTACCACCAGTGTAAATAAATAAATTAATAAAATGCATGTAATAATGCATGTAATTTATTACTGAAATTTAGATCAATTGAAGTTTTAACACAAAAATCATTAAAAATTCAATCTGTGTTTTCTCTCAAATTTTGTTCTAAAGTTTGCTTTTGAAGAATTTAACCATACGCATGCAATGAATGAAAATTGCTTTTTCAAGAAATATAAGACACTTTTATTTGCAGTGTGAATAAATAAATATTAAAAAAAAAATAATAATAAATGAAAACTAATGATTTATTAAGGCAATTACAGAACTTAGCGGTCGGTGCTTTTCATTTCAGGTTGTAAAAAATAATTATCATTTCATTCAATAAGATAAAATCGTCGAATGTATTCCTAAAATCTTTTGTCCATTTATTAGTTAACTTACTACTTTTGTCATTTCCTTGTTTTAATTAAACTCTCATGTTTTGTCACTTACCCTTCAAATTAAGGAATTTTGATTTATACCTGAACATGGTACCGGGACAACGTCTACGTAAAAAAATGCTACCAGTTTACCTTGATAAACTTTACCATTTGTAGTTTAGTTTAAATCAAATATTTCAAGGCCTGACATTTATGATATTTATGTATACAACAGCGTGCTAAAGTTTTTGGTAAACCTGTAAAAGGCATTTTGACCCTCCTGTGTTTCATTTTTTTAATTTATTATTTTATTTTTTTGTAAAATTTGTTTTCATCGTTCTCAATGGAACCAACATAAATATTACACATTTCGGAATTTTTTATCTTTTTACTATTTAATCGAAAATGTAGATTTCTTCGGATAAAATTTGAATCTTTTCACCCAGGTAAGCTGAATATTCCTTTTTCATATATATGTTTCGAGTCTTATAAGAAAAAATTCTGCAAAATCAAATGTCAACAATAGCAAATTAATAGTGTACTTTTAAAATTACGGCTAGGACTTAGCAAACTATGAAAAACTTATAATTATTAGTTAAAAGTGTATTTTGACTAAATAATATTACTATAAACAAAGAAATTCATCCGCTACTTACTTTGGTGTACCAAAATCGCTTAACACGAAATATACTATTCATTTAATACCCGACTGATATGAAAATTACTGATTTAAAGTGACTTTCAAAGCGCTGACTGACAATCTATAATATTGAGTTTGGCCAAAGACTATTGCACGCTAGTGTTAGATAAATAAATCAAGCAATTAGTTGCAAATTAGTTATAATTTAGTATGTACGTAAACATAACATAAAACATTATAAATCTATTCATAGTTAACAGAATTTACGTATTGTTTTATTGTAAGGTTGAATAAAAATTTCCCACAGTTTTGTTTTTGTGAAAATAAATTTTATTTTTAACTCAAATAACTCAATTAAAAGGATTTTGAATAATTCTAATTTAATTTTTATTTTTAACTCAATTAACTCAACTAAAATTTTTAACTCAATTAACTCAACAGTCTTCTCACAGTTTTGTTTTTATTAAAATAATTTTTGTTTTTAACTCAATTGACTCCATAAAAAAGGATTTTTAATAATTCTATTTTTATTTTTAATTTTTCTATTTTTAATTTTTATTTTTAACTCAATAAAACTCAACTTTTTTTTTTAATTTTTCAATCAATTAAATTTTCTTCTTTATTTTTAACTCAATTAACTCAATTAAAAGGATTTTTAATGATTCTATTTTAACTTTTTTTAACTCAATTAAAAGGATTTTGAATAATTGTATTTAAATAATTAAGAAACAGATTATAAGATTTCAACTTTTGTGCTAAACAAAAAAAATTAAAATTTTAGTAACTACGACTTTTAAGTAGAATTAAAAAAAAGAAGAAAATCATTTAATTTTAGTCAGATTTGAAACGAAAATCATATGTAGCACAACTTTCGTAATTATAGCCACCGAAAATATCCTCTCCCTCGCGCCGTAAGATATAGAAAATCTCCGACTGCTTGCGCCACTCGGAAGTTATAGGCCCTGACTAACACACTTTCCTTCTTTTCATTTTACTTGGAAAACACAGTATTTTAAACTCTCAGTTCATTTTATTCTTTTTTTTTCCTTTTCTTTTTTTTATAGTCTTGTCTCTGTTTTTATGACGGAAAGCTGTTAAATTTTCGATTGGTGACAAAATGGCAATGAATTTTTCTTGCACCATTTTGAAAATAGATGTAATCTGGCAGTGGCATCAGGCACAAAGCTGCCTTAAAAATTTGTATACTCGGAGTGAGTATCAAGTGGTCGAAATTTCGTTTGGTGATCGATATTTTTCAATAATAACATGGCGTACTACTATTTGGATTTTGCATGGACAATAATATAGCATAATTTCTGGTTGTAGAGGTTGCAAAATGATTGAAACTGACAATAGACATACAGCCCCAGTGGAGATCTGAGAACTCTAGTTGAAGATCAAGGAGGAAGGTCAACGTAGAGGAGGTTTATGTCCATTTTTTAACAAAAATGACGATTAGATCATTATCTCTATTACATTTCGTGGATTTCTAAGTTTTGACAAATCAATAAGGTGGAAAATCAGTTCTCCTCAAGAGTTGAAATGGGCTCATTGAAAATGGGCCGTGCTGGGGATAATCAAGAATAAGCTTTCTTGGATATAATTATTCTTTCCTCTTGATTTACTGTTGATATCTTGAGATCCAATCATTAAATATCAGCTTTTAATTAGAAGTCTGTAGCTTAGAAGGAAGTAAACTCATAAATGATATAAAATATTTTCTTTTGTAAAAATTTCAATTAATTAAATTTAATTTGCGTTTTCAGTTATTATAAATTAAAAACGGATAAATTTTAGTTTTTAATATTTTTTGCATGCAGGATATTTCTATCGTGCATTTCTTGACTTTTTGGCCTTGAAACATAATTCATATTACTAAGACACTTGTTAGCCATAAACCTGTCCGAATGGTTACTAAAACCGAATATCTTACTTTTTTTTAAAAAAAAACAACATTTTTTTTGTTGTAATTAAACTTCTATTCTAAGAGAGTGCAGTTAATTATATTTTTATAAAAACACTTGTTTTGAAAAGGAGCGCAGACAGTAAACTATAAAATATTATTTCTTTATAGATAATATTGTACCAAAATTTGTGCAATCTGTAGGACGCTGGGTTTCTGGAGGTTAATCGAAAATTGGTAGGTTTCCTGATTGATAATACGATAATTTTTAATTGACCATAAGATATTCTGCTTATAGCAGTCGGGAAGCAATAACAACTTGCATTGTCGTAGGCATGGAACTCCAGAAGAAATTTGAATGCTCTAACTTATCAGAAAGTTGTCCAGTTTCACCCCCTTGAAAATTTCTGGCTTGAAATGAGTATTTTGTATAGAAAGTTAACACAAATGTGCAGGAAGGCGTTAAATACAAAATTACGGCAAATGTTATACAGCAAATAAAAACAAGAACTTCGAAATTTTTAAAGAATCAACTTTTAATTTATGTTTACATAATTGGAACCATGGTTCAATTATAAATTTTTCTGAAAATTATGAGCTGAAAATTCGAATATTGCATCGATGTATTAATTGTATATTGCATTGATGAGTATATGGACAGAAAAAAAACTGTAACTTATACTTAATACCTTCTTTATTTATAATCCACTTTAGTTTAAAATTTACTGTTATTACATACATTCTACAGGATATTCCGTAATCTTCACCCTTAATAGATACTTTTTAAATTCTTTTGAAAAATTAGGTAAAACACATTAAGGGACTCAAAAACAAAAACGTTATGGTAATCTAACTAATCACTAGTGTGTAAGGCGGGATGGAAAACATCAATAGTTGGTTGATTGCTAGAGGAAGCAGGTAGGAGTTAGAAGGCGATTACTGAAATATCTCCGAATTTCATATGACAATTAAACTGGTTTTGGTATTTTTCGCCATACTTCGTAATATTTCGATAGCGTTTTCCCCCAGGTAAATACTAATCCCCCCCCTAATGTGTATACTATTTTACTTTCTTTTTAACGAATATTATAAAAACATACATTAAGGTCAGCAACTACGGAACACTCTGCATAGCTAGTGTAGCTTAATTTTATTATGTTTATAAATTTTTACTGATTTCAAAGAATTTATTTTTAATTAAAAATACCAAGTAAATCATTAAAAAAATCTGCGCTGCGCAAACTACATAGCAATAAAAACAGAGGGTTAGATTACTTTTGAAAATTTTAGTAGACGTCATGGTCTGTGCTCTGATTTAATTTCAAATCTTCTAGGTTCGAAAACTACACAACTTTCTAATCCCTTTGTTCGGTAATAACAATAATAACTAAATAAATAAAAACAACCGATTTAAGTAGTATGAGGGTATTTCCACTTTCGATATTTTCTCGCATAAAAACTTTTTATTTTATTAAAATAGAATCAAATAAGGCAAAACAATGTAACGATTATCATATTAGTAAATCTTTATCAATAAAGGCTTCCGATCCAACTCTAACTTTACTTTTAATGGACTCAACAAATATTTTTTTTTTTTTTTGCCGACCTCTTTAGACTATTTAAAAATAAACACATAAATAAATATAGATTGAATAACAGACAAGGAAGAAAAGCCTAATCTGTTATTGAAGTTTCTTCCCAAAAACAGTTAGTGCAGTTGGCTAACAGACACAAAAAAAAATCATAAGGATGACTGGACACAACTAAAAAACCGTGCTTAGGGGACTGTGAAATCTGACCGCTGCGGAAATTCAAATAAGTTTCGTCAGGTTCTAAGAAGCTTTATGAGGGTGGAATTATTGGTGTAATCGTCTGCTAAGGATAATCTGTTCGCAACCAATTAGAGTAATTTGAATTTGATTAATGGTGCTTTGCAAACAAAAATAATGTGTTTCACATCTGAAGTGTAAGAGAAAATGGTGTAAAGTTTATTGGTGGTGTTAAAACGAGATGGATTATTAGGCGAGTGAACTTTGTTATTTACTTTCTGTTGTAAGTAGTAGTTTTCTTTTCTTTTCTTTCTTTTTTTCCAAAGGACTAAGTTTTTGTTGAAAATCATAGATTTTTGTGATACGAATTTAAATATAAAAAATTCATTTAAAACTTGTCATTGGTTTTAAAACTAGAAAGACTGAAATTTAGTATATTCTTATATTGCCCAAAAGCAGTCAAAATAACTGGATTGTGAAAGAATAAATAATGTGTAAAGAAATTTGTTTAATTAATTTTTAATATTTTTTATATTATTTACAGTTATATAACAAGTTATTAGTAAATATTAGCAATAAACAAATTATGTGTTGTACAAAAAAGTCACAAAATTCTAAGAAATTGTGCTAATTACTTAATTGTTTTAAGAAATTGAATTCTAAGAAATTCTAAGAATTGTCACAAAATTCTAAGAACAAGCAGTCAAAATTACTTCCTTGGGCAATCTAGTGTTAAAGACAAATTTTGTAAAACTAGAACAATTATATTAACTGTTACTATTAAATTCTTGTAAAACTTTTGCGAAATAATAATAATGAAGTAGAAGTTAAAGTATGATATAAGATAGCACTCATAATTAAGTAAATTTCTTGTACTAATTAAATAACTGGCGAAAATTGAATTAGCTTAAAAATGCATCAAAATAAGGCAATATATATTTATTTGGATAAAGATAATAATACCAAAAGTGCTTGGAATTTTATTTATTTTGTATTTAAACCAGAAAAAAGTGTAATTCATTGATGATTTACTTATTTGTGACTGCTTCTGAGTTTTTGTTGAAAATCTTAGATTTTTGTGATACGATTTTGAATATAAAAAATTCATTTAAAACTTGTCATTGGTTTTAAAGACAAATTTTGTAAAACTAGAACAATTATATTAACTGTTACTATTAAATTCTTGTAAAACTTTTGCGAAATAATAATAATGAAGTAGAAGTTAAAGTATGATATAAGATAGCACTCATAATTAAATAAATTTTTTGTACTAAATAAATAACTGGCGAAAATTGAATTACCTTAAATATGCATCAAAATAAGGCAATATATATTTACTTCGATAAAGATAACAATACCAAAGTGCTTAGAATTTTATTTATTTTGTATTTAAGCCAGAAAAAAGTGTAATTCATTGATGATTTACTAATTTGTGATTGCTTTTAATAAATAAATTTTTGTTTGCTCTTAATTGAATTGCATAATATAGCAAGGCAGATGAAGTGGTGTTCTGTTTTATCACGTTTTGTCTACCGAAAACTGGAAAGCTGATTGGTTGATACAGTACACAATTTGAAATTGTGGTTTATCAATATATAGAATTAGTCCTTACATTGTACTTTTTATTCCATCTAACTAAATGTAAGTAGGTTAAGAAATGGAAGAAAAAAATTTGTTTAACAGATGGAAATATTTCAAATAATAGTAATACGTTTTTTAGTATGATTTAAAGGAATTAAACGTCAAATAATATATTAGAAAGGATAAGAAAAATATGTAATCTGTCTCAGCTTTCACAAACATTCGTAGCAGACGTAACAAAGATTGTATTTTATTGAATAAGATAAAAATTTGATTAAATTGAAGATTAAACAAAAAACAAGCAACTCGTACTTAGTTCATCGTTTATAAACTCTATCTTTAATTGATGCTTCTTGTTGCAATTAAAACTTTTTTTCCGCATCGAAATACATAAGAACTACTGAAATATAAGAAGCATTATGTTTCTTATAATAAATGAAACAGTTGAGAAAAGTGGGGTACATTGCAAAAAAAAAAAAAAGTAAATAAAGTACGAAAATAAAAATAAATAAATTAATAAGTAAATAATTGGGGGTATTGGAGGTAAATTTCAATTCGACTTATTCTGGTTTTCTCAAAAAATATAAATTTGTAGTTTAGACAATAATGGATGAAATAAAACTTATTTCAATCAAGCTAATTGAATCAATTAATCAGCAAGAATTAATTGAATTAACCAGCAAGAATGAAACCTTAACGGATACTGTTGTATCTTATGGATCCCCTTTTACTTGCTCAAATTCAAGGAAAAATATGCAGCTCCCACCCTTTAATAATGTTCTAACTATCTAAAAATAAAATAAAAAAATTAAAAAAAAAGTGCAGAATTTTATTTGAAAGTGGCAGGTACAAAGTTACCCTAAATCTTCTTGACATTTGAACACTTAATGAAAAATTTAAAATTATTATGTTTTTTCAAAGACACAAAAATTTTTACAGGAGACCACAATGAACGATTTTTTATAAAATTGAAATTTATGAAAAAAAAATGAATACATTCATTCATCCACAGATCGATTTTGACCTGAACCGGAGAACGATCAATCTTCAATTCAGTACCCTCAGACGTGTGATTTGTTATGGGAACATGAAGGACTTTGTGACCCGACAGATTTAACGCGAACTATTCACCATTTACTATTATATTCTAATTTTTGGGTCGGTGGACATGGGCCCAACGCCCTACCAACCAGGCTATCCAGGCCCCACAGGTTACTGTATCAATATCCTGATAAATTATCAGGTAACGCTTGAATAGTCGAGTTACTTTAGTTTCTTGTGCTTAGTTCGAATAAGCATTCTAGAAAAAAAAATACTACATTTTTGAAGAAATTTTTTCATTAGATAATTGAAATTTATTTTGAAATCTTCAATATATAAAATGCTTTTTCTATAGAGCACCTGTTACAGGGAATGACATTTCATTTTTTTACATGCTGTCAAGAAAGATTATTATTAACTCCAACAATTCTCGGTAATCATCACGTAAAAAGATGGTATTAGAAAAAATTTAGTGAAGCAGACATCTTTGGTACTTTTGTGCTACGAATTACCGTCAAGATTCTTCCTTGCTTTGTAAAGTTATAATAATTGCCAGTCTGTGATTCTTTTCAATACTCTTTATTACAAAAAGAATCGTTTTGGTTAATTTTATCGTTTTGGTTAAATCTAATCAATTTATGCTTTCTTCCATTCTTTATCTTTTTTCAAAGACATTATATTTAGACATTACATACATTATATTAGGTTTTTAGTATCATACCCAAAAACTTCTGCTGCAGCAACAAATATGTAAACCACATTTCTATCAGTTATTTTGCATCAATCAAAAACTACCCTCACTCGTGTTAATGGAAACTGGAATTAATCTCAAGTTTCTGAAACTGCTGCTACCGCAGTTACTTATAGTCGCTTATCGATGACAGAAGAAGCTTCACTGCTTGATATTAAACCACATGCAAACACGCAATCAAACATGCAATGTTGCACAAAGGAAATATTTCAGAAAATGGAAGAGTCAGGGGTAAAAATAACGGAAAATAAATAAAAATTTGGTAGAAAATAAGGTAACGAAAAAAAGTGTCACAAAAGTGTCTTTTTGGTCCAAAATTACTATACTTCATCTTCGATGAGGGTAATCCACTTGCAGCTGTCTGATTTAACGAAAATAATTTAAAACAATTCAGCACAAATCAATTTTTGTTGACATAAAATTTGCTTTCTTTTTATGTAGTTTAAATTAGGTTTATATACAGCACAAAGTTAAGACTTTCTTTATTTGAAATGATTTTTCGATTAGTTTTCATGATAGTTCAAGGGGAATCAGAAGTTGTCCGTGAACTTTGAATGATCTGTGAACTTGGATTATTTTTAAATAACATTACAGCAATTGCTTATCGAGGATAGTTCAAGGGGAATCAGAAGTTGAATGTGAACTTCGAATGACTTGTGAACTTGGATACAACGGTTTGGGAATTGAAAAAAAAATTGCAGCTGTTTTACTACTGAAGATGTTTTAGAAAATATCTCTTTTATCTAGTTTAAAATTTATTCTGCTAAAATAACAATCTAATTATCTATGCAAGGTTCATGTTTTGCTTTTCGTTGGGTTTTAATGAAAACTGCACAGAAATCACAAGATTAAGAAGTAAATGTTTTATTTGTATGTTGCTGCTTGTGGATACGTAATGCAGCAAACTGTATAGAACAATATTAGTTGGTGTGTCTGAGAGAAAAAAAAACTTATTTTAAACAAGCATCCGGACTCACTGAGATCTGTGAGAAAATTTATAAAAATGTAATTTTTAAATTTTCTTCACCTTCATTACACAATTTTCTCAATCTTTTTCTTCAAAGAATACTAATATGGTGCATAAAAATGAAATCAAAGAACACATTTCAGATTAAACTAAATTATGTATAGAAATGTCTAATAAATCAGATAAAAGTTAAAGTATATTATAGTTATTAGTATTTAAAAATCAAAAATTAGTCACGAGTAGAATGTGTGCATTTTTATAAATAAGAGAATTATTCACGCAGAGTGTTCCATAAATAACTGCTCTTAATGTACATTTTTTAGAATTTTTTAAATTTTCTTCACCTTTATTATACAATTTTCTCAATCCTTTTCGTCAAAAAATACTAATATGGCGCATAAAATAAAATCAAAGTACGCATTTATGATTAAACTTAATTATGTATAGAAATGTTTCATAAATCGGATAAAACTTAAAGTATTATAATTTTTAGTATTTAAAAATCGAAAATTAGACATGAGTAGATTGTATTCATTTTTTAGAAATAAGGGAATTATTTATGCGGAGTGTTCCTTAATAGACTGCCCTTAATGTACATTTTTTAGAATTCTTATAAATATGAATTCTAAAAATCATACACATTAAAGGTCGCAAATTAATATTCGAGTGATGATAGGACCAAAACAAAAATACCCCCGAGCTACCACGGCTTTTCTAACGCCACTTGCGAATATCAACAAACCTGCTAGGTGAAACCAAGTGAAGTTAAGGCTGAGGGTGTGTTTCTTGTTTTCAGTGGCGCCACCTATGGCTAAGAAAACGCCTTTAGACACACTCGATCGTTGCAACACCGTTTATAGGGCAGACCCATTTGTATATCCTTTTATTCATCCACAGCTCGTAATTTTGACCTGAACTACCAGAGAACGATCAATCTTCAATTCAGTACCCCGAGAAGTATTGATTTGTTATGGGAACTTGGACGACTTTGCAATCCGTCTGATATAACGTGCACCAGTCGCCATTTACTACCCGGAATCTTCGACCGGCAGGAATCAAACTCACGACCTCTTGGATTCGTACCCAATGCCCTACTAATCAGGTTACTCCGGCTCGGAATTACAAAGTGATGGGTCAGACCAAAAATAAAGTTATTTTTCCTTTTTTATAAAAACCACTTAGGTTTAAAATTCTTTTATTTTATTTCATAATTAGTTTTACTTGTTTTCATTTCTGTTTGGCAATAGTATGGTGGTAAGCTCTACTTCTAGGAATAGAAAAAGGCAGTTGAAACTTGTAGTATCATAAATCATAGAGGTGCATTTGAAATTTGAGCCTTTTAGCTTCTGTGAAAGTGGTAGGATTTTGGATTTATAATAAATTCAATTTGGCGTTTAAATGAATGTAGGTTCTGTTTGTTAAGTCATTAAAAGATTAAAACTGGAACTATTCTGGTAAAATTACGCTATTGTCCGGTAATAAAAACTTTGGCCAAAAACAACAGCATAATTCTGGTTAATAAAATCAAACTTTCAAGCCATTCATTTGGTAATTTTTCCGTTCATATGGTAGTGGTATACAGGAAATACAGGTTTTCAAAATTCAACACAAATTAGTAGAAAATACAAAGCTGAAAAGTTAATTTAATCAAACAAATGGTTTCTCTAGCATGCTCTAAGGCTAAGGTATCAGGCAGGATAAAATTATTGAATTTTACGAAATTTACCAAATTTTATTCCCGATAATGAAATTATATTTTATCATAAATTTTACCAAAATCATTATCAAAACTCGCTGGAAAAAAATACAGAGCTTTTGAGTGTTCCCTTCCCGAAACACGGTAAATTTTACCATATTCCGGTAGTTCGGATCAAACTGTTTTTTTTCCTTCAAGGAAGTGAAAATTTAAAATGGAAATTGGGTGGAAATCTTAACTGACAATAAATTCTGCTTGCCGACAAAAGGACAATAAGTTCTACAATTGAAACTTAAAGCAGGGACAAATTTTTCCTTGCATTTATAGAAATACTTGATCTTGTCTGTGTCGGGTATAAAGATTTCAAATCGGAAATTAGTTTTGTTCTTATAGCTACATTTTTTATTGTCCTTTTTAGTCTATTTCTTATGCTGCCTTAAACTTTCGTAGGAGTTAGGGCATATATTCAAGATTAAAACTGCATAGGAACCCATGCCTGGACATTTCGTCATTTGCGGCTAGGGGTGCTTGCCTATTATGACCTGCTCGGAAGCACACGAAAAAACAGTTCATAATAGAGAGACGGATAACTGGTCAGAGCCCTCTTGCGTCAGGCTAACAGTGGGTGGTTTTCGTTGTTTTCCACTCCATGTAAGGCAAATATCAGTTAATTCAATCAGAAAGTCCTCATCGAAGACAAATTTCTTCCAGTACTTAACCTAGGGCCTAGGCGTTCCCTTGTCTTCCGGACTGGGTTCAAAATTATATGCTAGGAAGTTGAACATTAGTAGTCATAAACTCAAAAAATTGGGTCGGCTGTTAAACGATGGTTATATAATATTATGAAAATGAGATAAAGAATTAAAAAAATTTCAAAAAAATTTAAAAATAAAAAGGAAAATAAAAATTTAAAAAAAATTAAAATTAAAATAAACAATAAAAAGCAGAAAATTAAAAATAAAATAAAAATAAAACATTTTCGGGCCAACGCCGACCACAGATGAACTGTTAGTCCTTACTATGAGGCTAACAGTGGGAGGTTTTCGTGGTTTTCTTCTCCATGTAGTGCAAATGTGGGTTAGTTCCATCAAAAAGAAGGCTAGTTTGTCCCTCTCTAGCCGTGAGTTTGTCTTAATGCTTGATCCAGGAGATTTCTTGATTCTTTGTCTTCTCGATTGGTTCAAAATAAAAAGGCTACGGAGTTGAACATTGGTAGTAGTAAACTCACAATTGAATCGGCTGTTCAACGACGGTTATGAAATAAAATATTTACGGGTATGGGTTCTCATGCAATTTCCTATGCTGTGATGTGCCCTAACTCGCATCCTAGTTTGTCGCATTATTTACGCGAACCCTTGTTATATATAACGTTTTTAAACCTACACATTTCGACAAAAAATAGACTAAAAAGTCTCTAAAAAACTAGCTTGGAGAGAGAAACCGATAGTAGTTTTAAAATCACCGATAGATAAGCATCTTGAGATCTGATAAAAAAAAATCTCGTGTAATTGTTCCCCAGTATTATGAGACGGTAAGGAGACCTAATGAAGCTTTGATTGCTCTAGATAGTTTAAAAAAGGCTTCAAAGATTCCACTCTTAAAGACGCAAAAGGGTATGAATAAAAAACATAATGAGCATTGAACGTTTTTACATCAACAAAACGTTATAGCATAATTGAGCCGTAATATGATGCAATAATGGTAACAAACCATAATTATTATCGTATTTCCGAAGCAATTTATCATTCCTAAGTCTGCAGTCTTTATTCTAGTTTGTAATGTTCTTTAAATAACCATAATAAAAATACATAAAAGAAAAGATTAAACCGCCATAGTTATCAAATTTCCTTTAAAAATTCTTCTTAAAATAGAAGACAAACAAGTCAAGTGGAATAAAGAAAGATGTATTCTTTCTTTTTCCTCAGGGCGCTGTCTGTTGGCGGAAACGATAAGGATAAGAATTTCGAACTTGTTTTTTTCCGATTGCTGTTAAATGTTTTCGTTAATTTTTTTACGATTGCGGCACTGATCTATTAAAAGATTTAAATTTCTTTCTGATTGATTTATAGATAGTTTATTTATTTTAGATTATTAATTGTTTTTATGTAAGCAATTATCAATAATTTTCATACTTGAATTAAACTGGTTGTTAAAATTAAGAGAATTTTCAGATTTGATATGAATGACTGTGTTTAAAACTACAAGGTGGTAGAGTTTAAAGAATTTTTTATGAAGACAATTTTATAGAAAACAAATGCAATAACTAATAAACGGTTATTATATACAAACATGACGCAATTCCCATCGGAGTTATAAAAAACGAAATAGTAGTTACAGAACTGAACCAAAATAAATAAATAAACGAAATAAAAAAATTAAAAAAAGTAAATAATAAAAAAAAGCGCACACAAAATAAATGCATAAAATAAATAAATAAATATAAAAGCAAATGCATAAAACAAATAAATAAATAAAGCAGATACATAAAATAAATAAATAAATAGATAAATAAATAAAATTGTTTGTGGAGGTATGGCACTCGTTCAGTGAAACTGCTTTCAGGCTCTGAATGATTGTCACGGAGAGTGGAAGTAACAATCGTTCTCCCATGAGCGTCACAAGCATGTTCTCTAAAATTGAGGTCTGGAGATCTGGGTGGTCAATCCATGCGAAGATTATTTCTATTTTCGAAAAAAATACATAACAGCTGTGTGTGGACCCGCGTTATCGACCACTCAGATGAAATCAAGATCAACTAAAAAGAAGAATATAGACTTCATCCCCATATCCTTGATCAGTCACTGAGCTTCTTTCAAAAGCATCGATGGATATGTTTGCCATCTAACATAAAGCCGACCCATACAATCAATTTGTAGTTTTTTTCTCATTTTTTGTTATTTTTTTTGCAGCGTCATTCATTTGAAACTGCTACATATTTAAAAATAATTGCCATGTTTTCATAAAACACCCTAACGTGTCTAAAATATTCATAGAAATATTATTTTGAAAACCTTATTTTGCCCCATCCGTGGGATTTGAGGGTTAGGCAGCATCAAACCGGAAGAAAAAAAAAGTAGAAGTGGTTATAATTAATGTAGCATAAGTGTTACTGAATTTAATTTTATAAACAGAAATATTATGTGACAATGGCTAAAAATAAGAATTTGTGACAATTTCTTGCGGGCAGATATATCTTTGCAATGTGACTTTTGTAGTCCCGTGACTTTGCAATGTGACTTCTGTTGCATTGTGACTTTTGTAGTCCCGCAGTGGACTGATCGTAAAGACACGGTTCCCAGTTGAACACCGAAGTTAAGCACTGGCTACGGTCAGTATGTGGTTAGGTGACCACTTTGATCAGCCTACGTAGGGACCTAGGGTGCTCGGCGTCGGTCCTCGTTAAACTGCTTTATTGTAGAGTGCTCGACTTCGCGCGCAAGTCTCCAAGCTATCAAATCTGGGGAACCATCCCTTCTGCAGAGGATCAAAATTGCGATGACATGTCTTCGGTTCATCCTCAGGGATATTTCGCAGACCATCTCTAATAGCTCATTGTGCAGCTCTAGTGCGACGCAAAAAAGTACCTACCTAACTTTTGTAATTGAATCTATTTTAAGTGCCAGTATTTATGTTAAGTGGGGTATTCCTTCAATATATTTTTTTAAAATTTTTAGTATACATCAGAAATATAATTTTATGGCTTTCTTACTTTTTCTTAAAAGATTAAATGTCCATGATTTTGTAAAGGTCAATAATTGTTTTTTTTCTTTCTAGGACCTGAAAGCCAAGCTGCTTGCAGCAGTTCAACAGTTATGTTCCGGACAGATCATCCAGACAAAATGAATAACTAAGATACTAGCTGATGATAAAAAATATCTGCAGTGCAATTTTTATCACTAATCAATCGTCCAAAAAAAAAATGATGGCTACTAGCAGATCGCACTTTCAAATGAAAAACTTCATCCACAAAACGGAATAATCACCATACAATAAAAAAAGAAAAAAAAAGAATGTGATCTCTTTCTTTGAAGTAACCAAACATACCACCAAGTTCCTCTTTTCTAAGTCCCTCATATTTTTTATCATAAAAAACTATGATAAATCATATTCATCTGCGTTATACCCATGTATTGACTTTTATACTGTTACATGCTTTGTTGGTCAGCACTGCACATGCGGACAAGAGACCATTTTATGTTATAGCACATATGGTGAACGAGCTCCGTCAGGTTCGACACTACCTGGATCGTGGTGCGAACTCCCTGGAATCGGATATTCAGTTCTATTCAGACGGATCAGTGAAAGAAGTGTATCATGGGTTTCCTTGTGATTGTTTCAGGACTTGCACAAAGACTGCTGGTTTGTCAGAGTATTTGCAACACGTGCGGAAAATTACGGATCCCAACGAACCGAACAATTACTACGATAAAATGGTGCTACAAATGCTGGATTTAAAGATGAGCTCTTCCAACAATAAGAAGAAATCGGGGAGGGAAATTGCTAGACATATTCTTGATCATTTGTGGACTCCAGATGGTAGCAGAGAACAAGAGGTAATCGTTAATCTGTAAATTGGTCATACAAGTGATATGAATATACATAACAGAAAGGCGTTCTGCTTAGGATACAAAAAATTTATTCACACCAAATTCTAAAATAAGTTACGAATTTCGTTAACAGATGGCACTGTTGTCTGAGAAAAACTAAGTAAGCAATGCTCCGTGTCAGATCATTCCAATTGAAATGCACGAGAGTCTGTTAAGTTTGTCCTCAGACTGCTCCACTGCATTGCTGAGAAAGGTGATTATTTTCAAACCATTGATTGATCGTTTTCGCTTATAACAGCGCCATCTGTTAATGAACGTCGTAATTAATTTTGAAACTTTGCTAAGATATATTGATTTATTTTATTTCTCTATTTCCTTTCAATTTATTTAATTGGCTTTTAAAACCGTCAGTCATTTCTGGAATATTCTGTACTATACTCCGTTCAGAATATTGATTCTCATAAAGATAATAACGAACTGGCTTATCTTATTAATGATAATTTTTTTGATATTTTTCTTAAATATTAGAAAAAATCTTTTGAATAGAGAATTAAAAGTCATGTTTGATGAATGTATATTAGGAAAAAACAGCACTTTAAAATAATGATGCATTACAATATAATATAAATAACTTTAAAAGCTTACACGACAAACTCCGTTTAGAAAAAATATCAAAATAATTGTTTTTATTACTGTCAAGTAAGTCAACAACATGCACATCTAAAAACATTTTTAATTAATCAATTTGCTTAGGAGAAGTCTATTTTCAGAAAATTACTTTTTAGATCAGAATTGTTAAAGAAATAGTTTGTCATTAATGAAAAAAATCACAAAAAAAAAAGAGAAAAAAATTCAGCCAACTCTTTTTAGTGATGGAGAAAAATGGAGAAAAATTTAAACAAATTTCTGCAGAATAAAATTTACCACTGTAAGATTATAAGCTGCAACTCATAAAAACATAAAATGTTAAGCTTAAACGTATATTGATTCTTGAACAGCAGCAATTTTTTGACTGCGCACTTAAATTTTTTCCGATTCATTAAAATTTCAAGCAATACCTATAATATTTTAGTAATCCCTTTTTAAAGATTACGTATAATTCTTGTGCGAGAATAATTGAAATTCTACTTCAATTTCCTTCGATTCCTTAAAATTTCTAGCAATACCTATATTATTTTAGTAATCCCTTTTTAAAGATTGCGTATAATTCTTGTACGAGAATAATTGAAATTCTACTTCAATTTCCTTCGATTCATTAAAATTTCTAGCAATACCTATATTATTTTAGTAATCCCTTTTTAAAGATTGCGTATAATTCTTGTACGAGAATAATTGAAATTCTACTTCAATTTCCTTCGATTCATTAAAATTTCTAGCAATACCTATAATATTTTAGTAATCCCTTTTTAAAGATTGCGTATAATTCTTGTACGAGAATAATTGAAATTCTACTTCAATTTCCTTCGATACATTAAAATTTCTAGCAATACCTATATTATTTTAGTAATCCCTTTTTAAAGATTGCGTATAATTCTTGTACGAGAATAATTGAAATTCTACTTCAATTTCCTTC